TAAAAGTTGATCATACCGAGAAAACGTCGCAGTTCCTCTACGGTTTGTGGCTTTGGAAAATCTGTGATAGCCTGTACCTTCTCTTGGGGTGGCTGTATCCCTTCCGCCGTGACTTGATGACCGAGGAATTTGACAGTTGGCTGACCGAAAACACATTTTGATGGGTTGATAGTAATGCCGTATTCTTCGAGTCGCTGTAATACGGTGCGTAGATGTTTTCGGTGCTCTTCCTCGTCTATTGACGCTATCAGTAGATCATCAACGAAAGGGAATACGAAGTCGAGTTCGCGCAGTACTTCGTGAATAAAACGTTGGAATGTCTGGCCGGCGTTCTTTAGACCAGGACACATACGCGGAAACTCGAAAAGGCCGAATGGTGTTATGATAGCTGTTTTCTCCACGTCTTGCTCGCTGACTGGCAGTTGTTGGTACGCGCGGTTGAGGTCGAGTGTGGAGAAAATTTTCTTCCCTGCGAGTTGGTATGTGAAATCACGTATGCGTGGTATGGGATACCGATCGGGCTTGGTTATAGCGTTGAGCCTTCGGTAATCGCCACACACGCGTAACTCTCCACTCTTCTTAGGCACGACGTGAAGAGGTGATGCCCAAGGGCTTTTGCTTGGTCTGCATAACCCTTGATTTATCATGCTCTGAAATTCTTTCCTGACCATTTCGTAGCGATGCGGCGCAATGGGGCGTGGCCTGCAGTGAAGAGGCGGTCCATTTGTTTCAATGAAGTGTTCGACGGAATGTTTAGGACTAAGCTTCATTGAAGTGAGTCTAGTTGTGCCTGGGAAATCTGCTAGTATGCTGTGGTAATTTTGCCCAATGTCTATACTGCGAACTGTAGGTATGTCTGCAGTACTGAGTTGAGCGTTAGTTACCAGCTGTGTTTTCCCGTCGATCAATCGTCGGTGTTTTACGTCGACAATGAGGTGGTGGTACTGTAAGAAATCTGCTCCCAGGATTGGCTTGGACACATCTGCTACGACGAATTTCCATGTGTATGGTCTTCGGAGGTTAAGATCGAGTGTGAGTGACTTCTCTCCGTATGTAGGAATTACAGTGTTGTTGGCGGCGTACAGTTGAAACGGCAGTGGTTTTTCGCGTGAGCCTTTTTTCTTTGGTAGCACGGAGATATTGGCTCCTGTGTCGACCAAAAAGGTAAGTTTCGTTACCCTGTCGGTAACGAAAAGGCGGTGTGATGATTCGGTAACGCCAGTTCCCGCCGCGGCTAGCGTTACTTTTAGTTTTCCGACTGGTTAATGGGCTTGACACTGCATGGTGGTGCGCATTTCTTAGCGTCCATACCGTAGCGTTGATGGTAGTAGCAGTACGGCATTGGAGATTTTTTTCGGTTTCGGTCTTCCATCTGCGACTCTCGTTGGTTTTCGTTACGATTTGTAGATGCGTTCTGCGAGCGTGATTGTAAACGGTGGCGAGAGCGACTGTTGCGGTAGTTGTCGCGAGGTTGTGCTCGTAGCTCAGCAACTTCCAAAGACAATCTTCTTATTTCACCGATGAGTGTGTCGATGGCTGGCTGTTGCGGATGAGGTGGTGGCACGCGGAGCGACAGTGAAATGCCGGAGACTTCTTGGCTCGACGGTGTTGATGAAGTTTGACGCTCTGCACCGGAATTTTCTGTTGTCGACATCTTCAATGTTCTTGGTGTTCTTCTCGGGGTTGTTCTTCACGGGGTCACCACTTTAGGGATGTTGCTTGAGGGTTGATTGCTTCAGAATTATTTGGTCGATGTTTAAATAAAACTCCCTAATTACTTGTAGAGAAGAGGTGAAGATGGAATAATGAATGAATGATATTTATTTACAAAACTGTGTACAATTATACTTAAAAATTATCCTACACTTACAACTAATATTGACATGTGGTACCAAGATGCGGAGCGTTGGTTGGTTGCGCAGGTACCAGGCTAGGCGATAAAAACACGGCGCGGCAAAAAGTTGGCCTTTTTCTGCACGCAGCCGTCGAAGCGGTACGAACGTGTTCTTCTCAGAACACTTCGATATCGTAGCCTTGCGATAACGCTAATAACTGTCCTTTTCAGGACAAATTATCGTATCACGACTAAACGTCTAACAACTGTCCTTTTCAGGACATATTATTCTTGTTTCACGACGAAAACGTTTAACAACTGTCCTTGTCAGGACATATTACCGTGTCTTACGACACGATGAAACTGTTCTTTTCAGAACACATGACCGTAACTATTCTAATATGTTCTTGTCAGAACACATCACTGTTTCAATACGACACGTTATCAATCACCTATAGTTTTAACTAAGGAAACGTTCAAGTATTACGTAACGAATTTGGGGGGGGGGTCCTTTTGTAAAACGTTATGATGCGGGGCGGGGATTGAATGACGCGTTGTTATTATTAATATTATTTTCGACATTGCTTTACATAATAGTAACTTTAAGGTATAAAGAGCCACTAGGTGGTCATGAAACGTTTTATTATACTTGGGTACAGAAAAACGTTACACGGGGGGGTCAATTATCTCCAAAAATTGCGTGACGTAAAACTTGAACGCTCCCTAATTTACTATACAACGTGTTTTAAACGTTATCAAATTTCTATTTAATGGATATAAGATATATGTATATGCATATTAACGTAAAAGTACAAGGAAAACTTTAATAATTAAGAGACACATTTTTCCATACAAACAAATTAAGATAAAATGAGTCAATAAATTTAACACCCTTGCAAATTCATTTATACTAGACATCGGTGAAAAACGGCAACCGGCAACGCCGCGCATTGGCGTTTATTATTAATTATAATACCTATCATCGGGATTCGGGACGTACATATTATAGCCAAGTTCACTTGTGTCGAAATATTATCATTTCGATTAAGATTAAAAGGATGCGATTGTTTACTTTTTAGATGTTCAGAAGTGTCGTATGAATATTTCAATAAATCATATTTCGATAAATGTATCTTTGTAATACATTCAATAGGTTTATTAAATGTATTAGATTTATTATTATTCATTTGATTAAATTGGGTTAACTAACGTTATTAAACTTAATGTAAGAACCATACGTACTACGTAGCATCTGATTGACGCGATATTCGTTCAGTTGTCTAGTCTGTCAACATAAGCAGTGAAATTAAGAATATTGTCTATGGAGATTGGACGAGTCACGAGTGTGACATTTAAATTTGGTATTTGCGTCATTATTGGTATTTGGTTATTGGTATTTCCCCCTATATTACTATACAGTATAGTGTATACTGAATACTCTATGATTGGCGTTTTGCTAGTGTGTTTCTTTGTATTTCATGCTCCAGGTAAATTCGATTAAAACAGTTTAATCTTGGTTTTCCACCACTAATATAAAGTTACTGTGACAATATAAATAGTAACAACATTTTATTGATTCAAAAACAATATAATAATCTAAGGTAAGCAAGCAAGTATGATTTTTCCTTATTTATAAGATGGCGCCGAAAATCGACGTTGTTTCTAACAAAAATAGTTTTTTTCAGATGCCGAACATAAAACTACAGTCCTCTGATACTGAAATATTTGAGGTTGATGTTGAGATAGCCAAATGCTCAGTTACGATAAAAACTATGTTAGAAGATTTGGGCATGGACGACGACGAAGAAAAAATAGTGCCTCTTCCGAACGTCAACTCCGCTATTCTAAAAAAGGTTATTCAATGGGCTACTTATCATAAAGATGATCCTCCTCTACCTGAAGATGATGAGAATAAACAAAAGAGAACTGACGATATATCGTCATGGGATGCAGATTTCTTGAAAGTTGATCAGGTTACATTGTTTGAGTTAATTTTAGCTGCCTACTATTTAGACATAAAGGGATTATTGGATGTATCATGCAAGACGGTAGCCAACATGGTTAAAGGAAAAACACCTGAGGAGATCCGTAAAACATTGGGTATGTTAGTTCCAATTTCTGGATGAATTTTTTAATGATTTAATTTATTAAGTTTTTTTTATATATTTAATTTTTCAAATGTAAACTGAACTCTGTTGACTATAATGACTCCTTTTCCAGTCTTTGATTATTTAATTGTAATTAATTATTTGCATGCAGCAAATAATTAATTACATATTTTTAATAATGCCAAAGAAGTATAACTTCTTACGTGTGTACATAAGTACACGCACCCTTTTTTTATATGTTGTGTGACACAGGATTGTGTGTATGTCAATAAAAGACCCTTAGCATTTAGCAACAGAATTTCAACCTACACAGTATTTCAGAAACATAACTTTTTTTAATACTTTATACTTAGTATTAGATATTTATAATTAATTACTGTCTAATGTGAATTATTACCAAATGCTATGCCAAAATGCTTAAGTCATCATGATTCCTACCGTCAAACGGGGTGAATAGATGGGCTTTCGAACTTTGGTACCGATTTTTGTAATGTTGCGGAATTGAAAGCCATTTTTTTAATTATGCATTTACTGAGTCCTAAAGAAATATATTCGTTTCCATTAGGATAAGTATGTAGTTTCTGAAAAAAAAACACAAAATATATGTGATTTCTATTTTCCTCCCATAAGGGGACAAAAGACACACACGAGGGGTGATTAGAAAAATTTCGTAGGGCTGCGCCATCGCAGTTTCCCTGAATTTTGTTTATGTAAGGAAAAGACAAACAAATGAAACTCAATAATGTATTTCAGATTATATTATTTATTAATGTTTTTAAAATATATTAATTGAAGAAAAATAAAAAAAATGTGAAACTCGAAAACAAAACTAGAAAAATGTACTTAACTAAATGAAAAATTATAAATAGGTGTAAATGCTTTTCCTTAAAGATTACACTTAACAATACTATCAAAACAAACTTAAAAATCATATTCTAAAACAAATTAAAAATTACATATATCGTCTGAAAAATAACATTAAATATAAAATCAGTTATTTAAATAATGAATGTCAGTCAGTCAGTCAGTCTAAAAATTTTCATTGAGGTATCTAATTTTTAAATACTGTCATCGTCCAAAGCCTTTAAAATTTCAGCATCACTTTTGTAATAATGTCGATTTTTTGTATTACTTGGTAATTGTTGTCGAGTTTTTTCTTTTTTTATATTTTTTACAGTATTCAATGGTATTTTTTTACACTTCTTTAAATTCACCCCACTTCTAGTATTCTTGATTTTTTCTATAAAAATAATTTCAACATTTTTCTGTTTTATTGTTTTATTTTCCTTTTTTTCTAAATCTACAACCTTGGTATTGTGAGTGTCACACATCTCACCCTGTGCTGGATCTTTGAATTCACTAAAAATGTTATTTGTTTCTATATCAGGTAAGTAATCTATGATCGATGCACTTTCATCAATGTAGTTAATGATGAATTCTTCATCTTGTTGTTGTTGAGAATCATTAATTTTTTTTTTACCTTTTTGTAGTAAAATGTATTATGTATTCCACATCTGGCTATATTTTCAGTGTAACTGTTTGTTTTTATATATAATTTATGTTAGCTGTAGGATTACGAAATAAATAAATAACAATAGCATATTCATCCACACATGCTACAGGTAGTAGATTTATGTCAGCTTCTTTGATTTCTTCAAAATTTAACATACTCTTAGATTCTGTCGAATCCTTATTCATGAAATCATAATTCAGTTTATCAATAAGTTTTTGTACTTCTTTTTTTTGCGTAGGTGTGTTTACTATTTTATTTTCAAGGTCTTTACTTTCGGGGTCAATATTAACCAGTTTTCCAGGAATAACTCTTACTTTCTTTTTATTGTTCCTTTGTTTGCGTATTTGTACAGTCTTCGTAATTTCATGTTCGGATACACTTTCTAAATTGTCATCATCTATATTGCCTAAACTTTTTGCAGATTCTGCATTTAATTTTCTTTTACGTGTCGGTTACTTAATATTCATTGTGCCATATCTCATTTCTTTAAGTAGTTGCAAGACTGATTTGTCTACTGCATACCTTGATTTATTGGGATCTTCATTTTCGCTACTTGGGAGTCTTGATAGGACTTGGTCACGATCAACAGGAATAATACCGGCTTTTCGAAAACCAGCTTTAAGGTTCGTCTCAACATTGTCGGACAATTCATTTATAAGGACTTTTAATAGTCTTGGGAAGCACCCTTTCGGTACTGAAGCTTGGGTTCTGCCATCTGTTTTTTTCCATTTAAGTAAAATGTTTCTCCAAGCCATTTTCATGGGCCTAAAGAAAGCGATGTCTATAGGCTGCGTTAAATGGGTAGAATTTTCTGGCAGAAATATAAATGAAATATTGTGTTGTTCACATATTCTAATTACTTCGATAGATAAGTGTGATGACAAATTGTCACCAATCAGAATTTTTTTTCCTGTTTTGTTTTTAAAACACGGAATTACAATGGATTTTATGTAATCATCAAATGTGTTGGCATCAATCCAACCAGATGCCGTTCTATTGTAACGTGTGCCTTTAGGTCCACCGGTAGTCCAAGTATCATAAATATTGTTAGCTTTATAAATTACATATGGAGGCAGAAGCTCTCCTGCAGCAGTACCAGCCATCATTATAAATATTGATGATTTAGATTGATTAAGGACTCTTTCAGGGTACTTAGTTCCCCTTTTCACTATAACCTTTTTACGTCCGGGGTCATCACCGAGGTTCGTTTCGTCGTAGTTTTTGGATCTATTTCTTTAAGGGATATCTCTAATTCGTCAAAGTATTCTTTAATTGTTTCGGGTGAAACTTGAGCCCTCGACTTTTTTATATTTTGACAGATTCTCAAAGAAATGGTATCTTTATGCCTTTTTAAAAATCTTGCGTCATAATCGGGTTCAGGCATATTATTTTTAAAGCGCCTGTGTGTGATGCCTAAATTATCCAAATACATTTTAATTAGAACTCTTAAATCGTAAGTGTCTAAAGGATAACCCCAACTGCCGCAAATATTTATATAATTGACGATGTGGCGTTCTGTGTCGTCATCTAAGGCATTTTGACCACCTTGTGTTTTCATAATTTTTCTACTGTGTCGGTATAGCACCGATTTGTTAATATTATCTTTATTTGCGATAGAGGCTAATGAGCAGTTTGGTGTAGTATCAAACTCTTCCAAAGCTTGTTGAATTGTCTCCTGGTCATATTTTCGATATTGCTTACCCCGTGGATCGGGCTTATAGTTACGAGGCATTTTTGTACCTGAGAAATAAAACAATGATGAAATTAACAAAACCAAAGATGTACCTTATTATTTCATTTTAGGTACTTAATGAATGAGGCTTCATGAGAAGGCGCTATTCACTGTTTACTAATACCATAATACAATTTTTGCTTGTTTCTGGGCCAATCTTCCTCAGTTTACCCCTAATAATAAGACTTGCTATAACCGGCGGGCGTAATTGATTGTATCTCAAGTACACTTATTAAGAACCTCAAAATTCCAAATTTAAACAAAATTAAAAGCTTTTAGTATGAAACTAAAAGTGGAAGTTGAACCGGAGATAAACATTACCAAATAGTCCTTTATCCTTTTTGGCAGCCCTGATTTTATCATATCTAATCACCCTTCTTTCGTAACTATTCATCCCTTTGCTGCATCTATTAACCATATTCGCGTGCTCATTAAACCCTCAGGTGTGTCTATTCACCCCCTTCGCGTGTCTTTTGACCTCAAAAAATTAAAGTAAACTAGACTTACAAAATAAGTCTAATTAATTATAATAATGTATATTCTTACCTCAACAATTACAGCACAATATATTTATGATAACACTGACTGTAATTAGAAGATATTTATTGACTTCTATCGCCAAAATTCTCTAAATTACGAAAGTTCAAACTCACATGCACTTTAACGACTTTTTTTTTTTGTCAACTTTGAAATTTAGTTTTGACGTTTTTAGCGAAGTTGCCATAAATAAAATGTTGCCAGACCAAGGAAAATAAAACTACCAAATGACTTAAGATACGGTTTTGTTTACTGGTAGCACTCAGTTATATAAATTAAGGTTTAAAATTATGCCAAGTTTTTTCTCTATTCCCCCCGTGAGTTCTATTCACCCCGTTTAACGGTATATAAAAAAAAATACTGTAAAAAAATAATGGCACATTATTTGTACTCTATTTTTAATCTCTATACTGAATAGTTATTTGAAATGAATAAATATAGTTTTAAACTTGGATCTGAAAGATTTTTAAATGTTTTTATGACTGAAAAAGTATTTCTAGTATTTTTTTATTAATGTATACTGCCAAATCTTTATATAGAACTATATTGTTATCATATAAGTCTACATTTTAAAATAATTAATAAAACATTAAATTGAAAAAAATATATATTATCAACGTACATACTGAGCGCAAATTTTTAATTACATATGTAATGAGAATTTAAAATTTACATATTATGATGTTGTTTTATTAAAAATTTATATGTATAGAAATTAAATTATATTGATTTAAAAATACTAGTATATTGAAAATGTTAAGTAGACTTTATTGGAAATGTATTTTATATTGATAAATTGATGTTTACTCTCTATATTTACAATGTTATCATAAAGTCATCTAAAATGAGTCTGTGTTATTGCTAGATATGTCAAATATCAAAATAAGGCTTAGTTTGGGTATATTTGTTATCATTATTGGTTTCCTTTTGGATTTTCATTTAAGTAAATTATTTCATAGATTTGTTAATGTTTTAAAGATGCTTATTCAATATTTTTAATAAAATGTGGTGCTGTAATGGATTGGTTATACTAGAAAATATTGCATACTCTTTCCAATGTGCCATATTTTTTTTCAATATATATTATGATTTAATTATAAATTTAAATGTTTTGTGGGTTTAGTATTAAGTGCATCTAATTATGGGTATATCAAACTTACTTAATCATTATTCCTACTATCTTATTGCAATTGTGTCGCACATTTTACCAATAATAACTATATAAGTATGTACACACACCTATGTTGTTTTATTTAATAAAGAAATCCATTGAAATTTAGAATATTAGCATTTAGCTTTTGCCTTTGTGAGTGTTGACCTTAGTAGCTTAAGCGTGCGACTCTTATCCCTAAGGTCGTAGATTCTATCACCGATTAGTACCAAACCAATGGAACTTCTGTGCACGCAATTTAATCGCTAGTACGTTAAACGAAAACATCGTGAGGAATCTGGCATGCCTCAGACCTAAAAAGTGATCGGCGTGTGCCAGGCTTACTTGCCTATTAGAAAAACAAATAATGGGTGTCCTTTTGTAAAACGATGCGGGGCGGGGATAGTTTTTAATGGAATTACGCGTTATTATTAATATTATTTTTGACTTTCCAGTACTTTACACCACATAATGGTAACTTTAAGGTATAAAGAGTCAGTAGGTGGTCACGAAAGGTTTTACTATACTTGGGTACAGAAAAACGTTACGGTGCGTTACACGGGGGGTCAATTTCCCTAACTTACTATACAACGTGTTGTAAACGTTATCACATTTATTTTTCTATTTCATGGATATCAGAGCCAATATGCATATTAACGTTAAAGTACATGGAAAACGTAATAATTAAGAAACCCATTTTTCCATACAAACAAATTAAGAAAAAATGAGTCAATAAATTTAACATCTTTGCAAATTCATTCATACTAGACAAAAAACGGCAACACCGCGCTCGCGCATTGGCGCAGTGGCGTGCTAGTTCGATATGATCAAAAGAATACCTACCATCGAGACGTACAATGTACATATTGTTACGAGCTTATTTTCTAAGTTTATTTTCAATTAAATTAACACTAATCACTTTAATTACACGCACTTCACATAGTACTTTATCACTTGTCTTCACTATATTCGCACTTTATCTCTTGTATTCGCATTCGAAACTGAACTAATCGGTTGAACCGTGGTACTTGTCGCACACTCCTTCGAGAGGGGTGAGCTTTGGCCCGTTCGGGGCGTACGCCTCAAACACAATGTATAATAATTATGAAATTGTATTTATTTATTATTAATACGTCAATTGCATAGAAGACCTGGTTATTTAGGTCATATGATAATTTAACAGTATGTTGCTTTATTTCAATGTCTAACATTATTACAACCTAACGTTCTTTACCGGTATGGAACCGTTCAAATATTGACGTACGTTACCACAGACATCAACGTTACGGCTAAGAATAAAGACATTGACGTGATATTCGTTGTCTAGTCTGTCAATATAAGCAGTGAATTTAAGTATATTGTCTATGGAGAGTGGAGACGAGTGTGACATTTAATTTTGGTATTTGCGTTTTACTAGTGTGTTTCTTTGTATTTCGTGCTCCAGTTAAATTCGATTGAAACAGTTTAATCTCGGTTTTCCACGACATATATCCAGTTACTGTGAGAATATAAATTAATATCATTTTATTGATTCAAAAACAATATAATAAACTAAGGTAAGCAAGTTGCGATGATATTCCCTTATTTATAAGATGGCGCCGAAAATCGACATTGTTTCTAACAAAAATAGTTTTTTTCAGATGCCGAACATAAAACTTCAGTCCTCTGATACTGAAATATTTGATGTTGATGTTGAGATAGCCAAATGCTCAGTTACGATAAAAACTATGTTAGAAGATTTGGGCATGGACGACGACGAAGAAGAAATAGTGCCTCTTCCGAACGTCAACTCCGCTATTCTAAAAAAGGTTATTCAATGGGCCACTTATCATAAAGATGATCCTCCTCTACCTGAAGATGATGAGAATAAAGAAAAGAGAACTGACGATATATCGTCATGGGATGCAGATTTCTTGAAAGTTGATCAGGGTACATTGTTTGAGTTAATTTTAGCTGCCAACTATTTAGACATAAAGGGATTATTGGATGTAACATGCAAGACGGTAGCCAACATGATTAAAGGCAAAACACCTGAGGAGATCCGTAAAACATTTAACATTAAGAATGACTTTACTGCTGCTGAGGAAGAACAAGTCCGTAAAGAAAATGAATGGTGTGAAGAGAAGTAAAGTTAATCGATTATGATGTATGTTTTATAAAAGTTGTAAAATTTATCAAAAGACACTTGTAATGTACATGTGCAAATTACTACCCATACTTAAATTATTGATAGTTTGGTCAAGGTTTCACATTACTTACTTACTTACACGGCTAAATTACAGATTTAGTTAATTGTTAGGTTGTGCTGACTAAACTTACAGATCACATTAAACATTTATTAAAAGCCTCATACATTTTTAACCATACTTTAAATGCTTATTTATAAGTGCATTCATCAATTTGAAACTAGTGTAACTATTAAACCTATGAGATAGTTCTCAATATTCAAGTAAATACAAATCATCATTCTAATTGAATAAATTATTAAAATATAAATTCTATGTTGTAGTCACAACATCCCTTGTAATATTCAGCTAATTACCAAGACAGTATTTGATCTATACTAGGTATGGTAATGTTAACTGCATGCTAGATACTCTGATAAATTCAGCTTATCATAGGAGAATTTATTTAATTAGGATTGCCACATTTATTTAATATGAAAAAAAAACCCTTTTGCTCATGAGTTTTTGATTATACTTAAGCTATATGTTCAACTTATATATACATGCCTATTATCTATATAGTTTTGATGGTAGGATTTCTATTTAACTAAAACTGTGTTACCTGGATTGTGAAAAAAAAATTGAATGATGACAAATGTGTGATTGGATACCATCGCAAACTTTAAATTTGTTCCTTAGTTTTGTTCAAAGCTATTAGATATTGTAAATGAACTTTAATAAAAATTCAAAACAGTTTTGTTTTTAATTCTATGTAGATTATTAAGCTTTTTTGCACACATAGAAAACATTTGTACCAAATATTCATATGAAAAAAAACTTGATTTTTCTTATATAACATGTAGCAAGTAGGCAGGAGGCTCACCTGATGTTAAGTTATACTGCCGCCCATGGACACTCACATGACAAGTGTGTTGCCAGGCTTTTAATGTTTTTGTTTAGTTTATGTTAGCAATACAATTTTTTTTAATATCTCATTGACGTGTACCTTTATATATATATATTTGTATGTAAATAAATTAGTTAGCTAGTAGACATGAAAATCAATCTTAGTATTTCATACCTCTGAATAAAAGGAATCTGTTGACATATCTTACACCAGTAGACTCGGCCAAGCGTTGCTGTGGCTAAGATTTTTGTTATATTACATAGTAGTAAACTATTCAAGAGAAAAGGCAGGAGAACACCAATCCACCATGCTTTTTTGGTGGTTATGCCATTAAATTGTAGCTTATGTGAAAGTTGGTAATTATTTTGATAAGGATCAATACCTAGGTATCAATAAAGAGCCTTTTCTAGCGGTGGTATTTTAATTAAAAAAAATAATAAAAGGACGCTTATTGTGACGTAACTTTTGTTCTATCATTAATAGTTTTCGCAGCGCACACGATTGAAGGAAGTTTTTTGTTTATTTTTTTACACCTTGGTTAGATTATTCAAGTTTTAGTAAGCATCCCTATTTTTTTGAAAATGAAACATCCTATGTCACTCGGGAACAGTGTAGCTTGCCAACGGTGAAAGAATTTTTGAAATCGGTCCAGTAGTTTCGGAGCCTATTCATTTCAAACAAACAAAAAATTCAACCTTTCCTCTTTATTAAAAAAAAAAGTATAGATAGATAAAGTTAGGTCTACCTAGGTCCAATCTCTAGATTGGATTCCATGATTATTATTAATGGTTTTTGTTAAATATCGAAGACAGTTAACAAACCAAAGCCTTAATAACTTATTTCAGACTTCAGTTTTCAAAACTAGTGTAATGAATATGGAATGTATTTCATTAATGTACGATAATCAGTTATGTTTATACACATTCATAACACAAAAATGGAAGTTGTGTCTTGTAAAAAGATATCAAAATTGTAATGAAAATTATTTATTTACCTACATTACTGATTACATAAATCTTAGTAAAACATATCAATATAGCTGCTTCAAACAATAAGCCTAGTTAAATCATCTTGATTATACCTTTCAGTTATAAAGTAATTATCAATACATGAAAGTATAGGACTGTTAAATTTTCGTTGATATGTACCGCACGAAGCAGCACCAAAAATTAGACCCATGAAAAATGAAGCAATTATAAGAAAAACTAAAAAGCATACGCATCGGTTCTGGTTTCTGAGTGCATCTCTGCATATATCCACAAAATCATAGATAGATCTGAAATAATGGTGAAAAGCAAGTAAAGTTATAATTTTCTTTGTCACACTAAATTTACGTTAGTGTTACTTATAACAACAGAATTTCAATTTGTTTGAATTCCCAGGGATTTCTGAGCCAGCTATATTAAAAAATAACCTAAAATCTTAGGACCTCTAGGTTATACGATAGATACGTACTTATTGGGGCTGTTCTAATGCCTGCATAGTGCGTGGTATATTAAAACAATTAACATGTTTTAAAAGCTGAAGTCAAATTGTTACCAAAATATACCTGCAACATTGTGTATTGTCACACAACAGCTTGTCAGTTTCATCTAGTATTTTTTGTAGCTGCTGCTGAGCTAATGCAATAACAGGACATTTTTTATGCAAAATATTGGCTATTTCTCCTTCAGAATCGTCGCAACTGCTGCAGCGCGCGTCAGGAACTCTTAAAATATCACTTCTGGGCGATTCTAAGTCATTTTCTCTTCGATTTTCTGAGTAATGTATATTATTTGTGTGATGGTTTTTATATGACTTCCTAGAATATCTGTAGACGTCTTGCACTTGGAAATCATCACTGGACATGGTATGGTTATGAGAAATACCAATGTCCCAATGACAGATTTCAATTACAGCCAGTTTCATAACTTGAAAAAAGGTTTTTCCATATTTATTCTATAAACGAATTCCTATAGATTTTATTTCTACTAAGCCTAATAACAAATAAAACTAAAAAACCCTTAGTTTTTGAGTCTATGCCGGTTTTCTCACGACTTCCTTCACCATACGAGTGAGTGTTATTAGTACCTAGACGTGCTTTGAACGTAGGTAACGTAACCCTACTACCTCAGGTTTAAGAAACGAACTTTTGCACTAGGCCAACCAAGCTCCCAAAAACTACAAAGAAATTTTAGACATGCCTCTTTCCAATAAATTAATTTATCGATGTATTTCGACAGGTAAGGACTTTTGAAGTTAAAAGCAATTTTCTTTTCCTCTCTTTGCAAAAACTAACGAACTTTATAAATAAAACAAAAATTAACCAATCTATAACATAAATATATTATGTACAGTTTACAATAACAATAAAATTAGTCCCCGAATGATTGATGCATGAATTTCTTTGAGTATTCATATATCACAAAGAGTACTGCAGTGGCTGGTATTGTCCTCACCAGTGTTGGTTTTAATCCGTTAAATAGGGCCAGGGCACCTGAAATTTTAGTAGTATTTTAGTTGCCTAACTGCCACCACTACACATGGGCATTATACGAACGCGTTGCTGGCTTTTACTGTTAAACTCTTTTAAAGAATCGCAACTTTTATTTATAAAAGAAATCATTTAGGTAACTAATGAACGACCCAAAGTCAAGAATCATTTATTCATGTAGGTAACACAATGTACACTTATGAACGTTAAAAAAGAAATATAAGTACATTAAATGCTTCTAATTTTACATTTACTGCCAGTTCTCAAATCAAGGGCGTAGAACGGAAGAGAAGAACTGGCAATAAAGTCTCCGCCACTCTTTTTAATCGCCAATCGCAAAGAACTGACAGGTCCCTCTTTAATATAAGGTTTTAATTTGTTTTTTACAAGATGTTTGTAAGTACTTGCAATCTTTACATCATGCTCCTCGTCACGTGTTAAACCAGTTAATTATTGTAAAAAAAAATTAATTAAAAAAGTAAAATAATAAAATTGTATTCAGTAAGTATTTTCTGACAAATCCATAATGGATAATCGTCAGTTCTGTTCTGAAATTACCGTTTAAAAACCTGGCGAATAATTTAAACCTAAGTGATATAATTTCGACAGATTTTGCCTAAAATTTCCATACGGCTCCAATAAACTGTAGATAAATACAACGCTAGAAATAGCGTCAGTTACTATTCTCCAAAAATCTACAGAAAAAGAGGAGTTACATTTGCATGGAATAAATACTGGGGTATAAAAGGAGAACACAAAAACCAAAGAGATTCATATAGACACAAAAGTCAAAATAAGTCGTTACCGAATGGACCCCACAAAATCACACTCGCAAACAACCTTGATGTTCAACCTGCAGCAGAGGTTCATCATCGGCCGTCAAGGCAGAATACATACCATCCGTATCACCTCGACGTCCGTCGTTCCATAACTAAGCGTTTCTTAAGGCATTTTTTGCCGCTCTGAAGTATTTTCGAACCAACGACTAAACCCTTCAACAAGAGGACGTACCAATTCTTGAATGTGAGTGTCCATGGACGGCGGTATCACTTAATATCAGGTGAGCCTCCTGTTACAAAAAAAAGATCCAGGCTTAATGAGGTTGGCAAGAGACAGGATGCAATTTGATGGTTTAAGGGTGGCGTACTTCGTAGAGGCGACTACTGAAGATGACTGATTTGTTTATAGTGTAATATTTTTGTATAGATTTTAATTCATTAGAAATATAGACTTATTTTATTTATAGAAATAACCTCCCCCTATCAAAGTGTAGTGGAAACTTGGTGATACTAAAATCGTGGAATCGACCTCTAACCTGTACCGTAATGAATATTTTATCATTTGACGTTCATTAGTGTACATCGCGTTACCAATATGAATAAATGATTTTGACATTGTGAAAAAAAGGGTGCGTGTACTTATGTACGCGCGTAAGAAGTTATACTTCTTTGGCATTATTAAAAATAGTTTTTGATTGCATGCAAATAATTAATTACAATTAAATAATCAAAGACTGGAAAAGGAGTCATTATAGTCAATAAAGTTTGTATTTGAAAAATTAAATAAATAAATATTTATTATTAATCTCTTACTTTAAATGTAACATAAATTCTATTATTATTCGAATGTTGTTTTTAAATTATGTCCAATGCCGTAGCATCTTCCCTGGGCAAATTCATTCTGTTAATTGTGTCACGGTGCGCGCGCATTGTAAAATTTCACTCATCAATTTTTCATAACGCGCCTAAAGAAGTATAACTTCAAAAATATTAAATGATACAATATTTTTTTTAATATTTTACCTTCATTTCTTACAATATCCATTCCAACTGTAAGGAACTTTTGTTTCTTGTTCGATATCTGTATCCGTGATTTGATGACGTCAGATGGAAATATTACGGTCCATAGCACACAGCCTCCCACTGCACCAGCTATCATTGTCTTTAGAAAACCGATGTCGTCCTTTGACTGGCCTGGTTTGGCTAGAAACTCTCTCGTACCTATAATAGAATTATAAATGAGAGATAAGGATTTAAGGTCAGGATTTATGTTAAATTTTGTCATTATAGTTCGACAATTATTTTTAAAAAAGTGCGTGCGTACAAAGTACACATGTCAGAAGTGAAACTTCTTTGTAAATTAATTATTACTAAGGTAAAAGCCCCAATAGATGATCTTGGACCAGTATATGATCGCTCCATGTATTTTCATATCTATATTCACACTGTTTAGTGTTTATACTCTGTATACGTGCTAATATAATATAAATGATAATATAAATAAATAAAAAATCTGCGTTTACTGCACAAGACGTTATGCGACAGAATTACTAAATAAATACTCTCTCTCTCTCTCTCAATCGGTCTCAATCCCTCTATCCCTTTTCTTCGACAAAAACGCTGCACATCTTCGTGACGCTAATATTATTATTATTGCGTTTCATCCGTAAAAAATTTACCCTCATGCGCCTACAGAAGTTTCACTTTAAAAAAAATTATAATTTTTATAAATAAATGAAATGACGCGTAATATGAATTTCTCTCGGCGGGAAATAGTTATTTATTTTTTACTATTAAAAATCAGTGAATTATAAGCAATTACATTGGTAATTTACAATTGGATAGACATAAAAAGTTAGTTCGTTTCAAGGTTTCAAGAAAATTCATTTCAAATCGAATCGTTTATTCGATTGAAATAGTTTTCGCCTGTCGTCTGCATAGAAATGCTTGGCGTGCCGCATTCTTATCTGCCCTATGGTTAAAACAAAAAAATGAACATGTACCGCCAAAACCTTTTTCGGTCTGGATCTCAGGTTTCTGTATATGTTTCATCATTTGTCAATCTTATAGGCAAGTAGGTGATCAACCTCCTGTGTCTATCACAGGCGGTGGATTTTTAGGCCTTAGGCAAGTCGGTTTCCTCACGATGTTTTCCTTAACCGTTCGAACCGATATTAAATGCGCACACAGATAGAAAGTCCATTGGTGCACAGTCTAGGATCAAACCTGCGACGAGAGTCGCACGCTAGCACTAGTCCAACACTGCCCTATGGTTACAGGATTAAACATTTGGTACTTATGCAGATTTAAAAAAATAAGAGTACAATTCAATGTGTCCTTTAAATGTCCAACAAAAACGGCGGGAAAATAAATGCAATTCGTACTTATTATATTTCAGGAAAAAATTGCAACACGACAAATCGCTTATAAATTATTCTGGCATTGAACAAGCCATGAAATAATTGACATTATTAAATGATAATTATTAAATTCTAGGTCAAATAAACAAGTAGTATTGTTAAGATTGTTTATCATAATCTCGGTGCGTATCTTTATAACTATTATCTTATTTGTGCAGAACTTCATGATCACTTTATTTATCAAATTACAAATTGTAACTCCTCAGAGCCAGTTCATAAAAGCTAAATCATTCTTAATATTTTTTATCTTTATATATCTGTTAAATTATGTTCACGCGTAGAAAACGATTAAAGTTTTACTATTTTATGTGATCATTGCTTATCTAACAGCGTAGATGTTAATATATAAAAACCGGAAACAATTAAAAAACAACGGAAATTTAAAATCTCTGCATTCTTTTAGACTAGTATTATTTTTCCCTCTGTTCAAAAAAGATGATTTTATGGAATCTAGGAATTCATATAACAACTCAAACAAGAAATCATAGACTCTGTCATTTCCTACTTCACAGTTAATGGTTCTTAAAATGTTTTGTTAATACGGGCACTCACTCTCTCATAATCACATTTAAATTTTAAATAGACAAAGTTATAGAATAAAAAAATATATAATTTAGTCATTTAAATTTTTAGCTCTAGAGATCTGATAGTTTTTAGTATTAAAAAAATATAGGTACCTTCATATCCTCCAAAAAAGAAGAAATATCCCGGCATTTCCCTCATTATTGTCGGCACCAAACCTCTAAAAAGTCCTTGAATACCATATTCCTTAAATATCTGCTGAGTTAACTGCAATGGTGTTATCTTCATCTGAAATATTTATTTAATATAAATAAAAAAAGGTTACTGTGTACTTTTTTGGTTTAGCTTAAGAACTCATAAGTATGGCTAAACATATAATATATAAATAATTATTTATCTATATAATGTAAACTGGTTTCTTCTAAATGATGAAAATAAAGAAACTAATGCTGTTTGTTTATAAATTTTTCTCTAAAACTAAACGTTTTATATATATGTTATACTATATAAATCAGTAGTAGTAATACATTGATTAAAAGCAAAGATAATAACATTAATAATATCAAGTGGACACAGACATCTTTGTATCCTATACCACAGGCATTATTGTAAGTAATAAGATCCACAAGAAATCGCCAATTAAATATAATGTACTCAAAATACCCAAAGAAGTAAGAAGCATCATACAACTGTTTGTGAACCCTGCACATTAACTTCTCTCATCGCTTGCAGCTGGCACTTGATCAGTTCTGTAGGACAGAGGGTAAATGATGAGAAGAATGCAGCCAAAAACCCAGCTGAGGCATTGCCCATGGTGGATAGTTGCTCTACTTTCTAAAAAAAATAAAAAAAATTGTATGAATAATATGTAGGAGTTTATAGAAATAGATTTTTGCTGTATATGCTGTGAGTGCTTGCTATCAAGTGTTATATGATTTTTTTGTATAAAAATAGGGATAATAAACTCAAAATGAGGTATAATTTTTTTCTTTTCCATTCTAATTGAAATATTGACAAATCATGTAAGAAATATATAATTTTAAGAATAGGGTTCTTTATTCCAATTATAATATTATGTTGCATAGTTCAGTTAGAAATAATTTTTTTAGGCAGTTTTAGACACCACTTGTATCTTTAAAATAGACACTAGATACATTTATAGAAATAACAATTAGTGTCTAAAGCAGACAAATTTTTCATGAGACTACAATGTTATAAATAAAAACTTAGTTCTAGATATAGGAAGATCTCACTATAAAGGTCATATAAACAAGACAACAAACTAAACTTGACCTAGTTCAGAACAATTTATTACATTAACTAAAGATACTTAGTACAAATATTGTAAAATAATAATCAGGAAATAATATATGTAAAGTTCTCAAAACCAAAAATCTGAAATTTTAAAGGACAGTGGAATTATGTTTCAATATGTGTAAATTGCACAATAAAAGCTAGATTGCATAATAACTTTATAAAATATTGTTATAGTTACCTCTGTGCCAGTGAGCTTACAAACAAATTTTTGGCAGTATCCATAGGCAGCAAACAAAACTGAATTTTCTGCTACATTAGCCATTATAGCAGGAGTTGTTCCTGCATATAGACCTCTTACAACACCATCATTTTTAAATGTCTGTTTCAAGCAGTCTACCATACCATTGTATAGGTGTGGAAATGTTTGCATTTTAACTTTTACTGTATCCAATGGCTGGCCGACATAAACCACAGCTACCCCGCCTGGAATAATCAGTTTTAAAAACACATCAAGCAACTAAGTTAGAGGAATTAAGAGATAATATTTACCGAGGGAACCAGCCGTAAAATCAATCAAACCGCTTTTTATAGTGTTTCCTGAACCTGTGGAGTGTGCCATGTTCCTGTCTTTTACTTAATTCTGTGTTCTGAAAAGTTCGCAACTTATCATAATCTTGAGAATTAAAAACATGAAGCAAGGTGTAAATAAAAATTACGCGAACAGATAAAACGATTTCCTTATGATAAAAAGTGATTAGATTTTTAAAATTATTATTGGTATACCTTTTGAATACAATTCCTGATTAAATAAATATTTAAAATCTTGATAATATTTTAAATATAAAACAATGATATAGTCAAGAATATAAAATCAGCCTGTTTCTATAAGATTGTGCTTACTAATAACTAGTAATACTTATACTTTGGTTATTAACTTCACAACCTTTCATAGACTAATTATATGGAGTTTAAAACAATATTAGTAAATTTTAGAGATGGGGAAATCTGATTTATGAATCTGCTGATAACGCTAAACGCTTATCAGTTACACAGACTACGGTCTACGACTACTTTTCTTCACAGAAAAGAGCTAATAACAAAAATGTCAAAACTGTTTTAATCTCTCATAATTTCAATCCGTTATTCAACAACCTAATTTCATTTTCAATTATTTTTAATATATTTGATTATGTCAATCTGCCAATCATGAAACTAGATAAATAGATATAAACCAAAAATTAAAAATTACTTTGGTCGTAGCTTTAGCCTTTAACGTAAAGCGTCAATTTACAGAGACCAAGAACCAAATATAAACAGACTATAATATGTTCAGTTAAACTAAAGTTAGAAATATTGAGTTTACTCTCAAGATAACATTTGAAAATAAATTATATTAAAATATTTGCATCAATTTTCTTTTCTATAAATCTAAAGCAGCATAAATAGTCTAAAAATAATACAATTCCTGTATATCCATTGGTAGTGTATAGTCTTCATAAATACGCTTATCCAATGAAGTTTTATATGATGAAGTTAACGAAAACATGGGGAATGGTTGTTTTTCAGACTTTCTTTTGAGTTTTTCACTTAGAAAAACAATTTCTTTTAGCGTTATCATGTAAATACAATCATACACTCCAAACTTATAATTTATTAATATCAAGAATAATATAATAACCTAGTAATACTTTCATTGTGAAGTGATAATTTAGTTGATTTTGATTGTGGAAATAATCATGGTTTTAAAGTAATTTAATAACTTAAGTAAGTATCCGTTATTAAAGAAGTGTGTATTTTAATAGATTATTATATCTAAAATGCTCTTGTGCGTCTAATTAAAGAGAAAATTACTGAAAATATTTGACGTGTCTCAATTTGAGTTTTGTGTCCGGCGGCCATGTTTGTGCCTTAGTAATTTTATTTTTTTTAAAAATATATATAAAATTTGAAATTTGTTTCTAATAAATCAAATTGTGGTTATGAGTATGCATGCTTCAAGATTATGAAATGACGCCTAATCATATAGATATGGTGACTAAAATTCTTCATGAAAATAATTGACGCATTTTAATGTTGGCGTCTTTGTTTAGGTGTTCAGAATGGTTGTTGGATCCACTTCTTATCCAGGGAGGCAAGTGCTTCACAAAATGCAGCCAATGGGTATGACACCTAGGGAGCTGTCCGAATACGATGACTTGGCGACCGCGCTTATAGTGGATCCCTACCTAGGCTTTTCAACCCATAAAATGAATATTCGATACAGGCCACTAAAAACAAATAAGGAAGAATTGAAGAAGATAATTAAAGAGTTTATTCAAACCCAAGATTATAATAAAGCTTATTCAAAGTTAGCTAATGGAGATTGGATGCCAAGGCATTTTAGTAAAAATAAACATCAACAAAATAAACTAAGAGAACATGTAAGTTTTACCAGTTTAAAAAATTTAATTGTGGTTTTGTAAATTAACGAAATTCTAACATTTTGTTTTCTTTTCAGATATACCGTTATCTTCGAGTATTTGACAAAAAAGCAGGCTTTGTTATTGAACCGTGTTATAGATATTCTATGGAAGGCCGCGTTGGAGCAAAAATATCAACAACAAAAAAGTTTTACAAACATGAAAGGATAGATTTTTTAGTGGGATGTATTGCTGAGATGACAGAGGAAGAAGAAAAGCAACTTTTGCATCCAGGAAAGAATGATTTTTCAGTTATGTATAGCTGTAGGAAAAATTGTGCCCAGTTATGGCTTGGCCCAGCTGCTTATATAAATCATGATTGTAGACCAACTTGCACATTTGAAGCTACTGATAGAGGCAAAGCATTTGTTAGAGTATTAAGGGATATAGATGTTGGAGAAGAGATTACTTGTTTCTATGGTGAAGATTTTTTTGGAAATGGCAATTGTTATTGTGAATGTGAAACATGTGAGAGACGAGGTAAAGGAGCTTTTTCCGTTCAAAGTTCACACGAAGATGATCAAGGTACGCGATATAGATTTAGAGAAACAGATAATAGAATTAATAGAACAAAGGCTAAATTAATACAGAAACCTGTTAATGGCAAAAGTAATGACAAATCTCGAATAGCAAATCGGCAGGTTCCTAATATAGTCTCTCCTCTTAGTATGAAAGAGATGAAGCAAAAGGGTTTAACAAAGTATGATGCTGAGCTTTTAATTGCACAGGGATGCATAGCTGATGTAGTTGATGGATCAGATCAGAAAGAAACCCAAGGCAGTAGGGAATCATCTGTTTCTAGTAGAAGTGAGAGATTGCGACGGCGCAGGGATAGCGGTCGAACTATGAATGGTACAACAGCTCAAACTGCCAGTTCCCAAAATCAAACAGAATACTCAAGATGCTGTAGTATAACAAGTTCACGAAGTAGTAATGATTCGCACTCTGGTATTGTATTAAGAAGTCATAAACGTCTAATGGATACCTCAACCTCACAACCAACTTGTTCTAAAACTAGAAACAATTCAAAAAGTAGTTCAGAAGCTAAGTTGGCTAGGAATCATATGGCCCCTAAAACAGAACCTAATCTTCCGACATTGGAAGAAAATAAACATATTAAAGTGGAGCCTCCAGACCAAACATATAACACTTTGACAGAATCTAGACCTTTTGATATAAAAAGTGAATGTGATACCATGGAATCTCCACCACTACAAATAGAAACATCAATTCCAGTGAAAATAGAAACAGTTGAAGTAAGTGTAACTCCAATAGAAGATAATACATGCATGAATGTTGCAGAACATATTAAAACTGAAACTGAGAAGTGTGATTTAATAGAAAATGTAAAACCTAGTGAACCTAATGATAATAATAACAAACAACAACTCGAAGGTAATTCAAATAGGACTGAAGAGAGTAAAAAACAAGCAGAGTCTGGTCCCCCGTTGGTTGCAGAGAATACAAGCAAGAGCAGTGAATGCCCATGCACTCCTCCACGTAGGGGCTTGAAGTTAACATTGCGGGTAAAACGAAGTCCAGTTGTTGAAGAAGTTATGGATTGTAGGAGTACAAGTGAACCGCCTGAGTATGAAGTATTACGCTTAGAAGGTGTAGACCCCGAGACAGCACGTCGTATCAAAAAGCGCCGACGTTCAAAAGAGAGGCATCGTAAACATAGTCCTATCCGTCCTCTGCCTCCAATGAAACGCTTACGGTTAATTTTCGGAAACGAGAGTCGAACTATTGACTTACCTCCAGCCATAACGGCAGACTGACAGGCGCAACTCTCTTGTCGTTATATCTCCACCGCTTTATATCCAATTTTTAGTATAATTTTCTCAACTGACTAGGATTATTTTGTGTACTATTTATTTAATGTTAGATTTGGACTCAAATGCTGTGTGATAGGCGTTAATTAATTTATTTCATGAGAAGTGATGAAATCATAAGGCATATTGGCACAAAATCCTTGATGATACTCACTCTTAATCAACTTTTTATTATCTTGAAATCAAATTGTAAAAGTTAAGTATTGATCAGCAATAATCCAAACTTAAAACTTGCTGGTCATAATTGTTCAAATTTGTCTAAAAGGATAATAAAGATTTTCCTAGTTGACCTTTCATTATTCATTATCTCTCATTCCATGAATTGAATGTATTTTATCTTATGTACACTACAAAACATTGATCAAATTAAATATATTGTGTAGTTTAGAGCTAAATATGTAAATTGATTTTGTTTTGTATTAAATATTGATGGTGTATTAACGGAACAAACAAACATTGTAATTATGCTAGCATTACTGAAATGCATAGTTTTTAGTTAGGCTAGTTTGTGGCTTCATTATTGTTATGCCAAGATTTTGGAACAATCACCAGTACAGTATTATTTTCATAAGAGAAAATATTACTTTCCTTACTTAAAAGCCTTTTGCCACGTCTTGTTTTGACCCAATCCGTAAAAGATTACCTTTATGAAATAAATAAGGAGTTAACATCAATTCATAATATCATGCTGTCTATACATTTTAGGATAAAATAAGTAGAAAAATGTATTGTCTATATAATATTAAAAGTAAATGATGCATAGTTCACAATTTTAATAAGAATGTAAGGACTTTTTAACAATATTTAACAGAAACTTCTATGCTTCGGTCTTAACAATAGCTTCTAACTCAGGTTATATATTGAAAATGGGGTAATGAAAAGTTTTCATTACCCCATGAAATTTTATTTAGGACTAGGTGCCTCATATTCAGTTGATTTTAATTGGTTATTCTTGAGGCTATGAAATGCTTGTAATGATAATGAGGATAACAATTTTGAAACTTGTGAGATTTTGTTAATATCAGTAATGCGCATCATTTACATTTAATTGAATATGTTGAAATTGTATAAATGTAAAAAATAGTGGTAACTTTAATGGAACTAGTTATGTGATATTCCCAAAAGGAATAGTAATTATTATAATAGCAAGGAATCTACATTTGAATAGAAACTTGATAACAGGCAATTCTGTTATACTATTTGTTATTGGACATGTCTTAATGTAATAAAATGCCTCAAATCCGTGTATTGTGATTTATTTTGGATTTCATGGCAATTATAATATTAAGTGTTTACATTCAACTGCCTTAACTGTGATTTTCATCAATAAAAGTGTTGTTTTAGACATTGACACAGGTCTGTGTATTATTAAGGTAGGCTTTAACCTGGTAAATATTGTTTTGTGCATCCAGAACTTAATGATTGTGGAAGTGTACAGAGTTATGTACTTTAAAATAAATATTACGTATCAGGCTGATTTGCTATTTTTTTATTCACCAACATTTTATTTTGTTACAGTTTAGCGTAGTAATAATGACCTTGAAGTTAATTTATTGGTATCTTAAAACATTGAAAGATAATAGTATGAGAAATGTGGTTTGGGGTATGAGTGAGGCTTCAATGACCATACCTGAAAATAGAAATATTTTAGATTAGCAAGGTAGGCCAAACAGCAGCTGTTAGTAAAAGATTATAGAAATTAAATTGCAATATATCAAATAGAAGTTAATAATTTCTTGCTACCAACATTATGGTAATACATTCCTCAAACAATAGTCATTAAATAATAAATATACCAAAACATTAGAAATACTGACATTCTATCCTATTTCCTAGTATTGTTCAAACACATTATTACAAGTTATTATTTTAAGAAAACTCAATATTACTTACAGCAACAGTGCTAAAGTTGATCTTCAGCACTTTCAAAATAAATTCATGGGCTTTAGTCAATATATATCTTAGATAAACTGTTTGTATTTATTTCTGTATTATAATAAGCTGTCACTTACTTTTGGAACTCCCATTCTCTGTTGTCCAGGGGGCACACTTGTCTGGTTTTCAACCAACGAGAAATGCAATGAAAATGGAAGGCATGCTGAAAAAATAATCATTTTAAAAAGTGAAAGACATTGATTTGGTCTGGCTATTAATATGTAGCCAGATAGTAATATTATACTCACATTACATACTCCCCAGGCAACAGTACATTCCTCGCTTGTGGCAGATGCTTGATTGGCCTGACATTCAATACAGAGATCCATAATATGGTTACGGCAAATTGCACAGTTATCTACCACAATATCTACAAAAACAAAAAAAAATATTGAATGTTTTGATAATCAACATGTTTTTTCGGTGTCTTTGTTTGATGTTAGGTTAAGCTTGTTTATTATGAAGAAAAATACATACCCCAAGCCCAAAGGGCAACGGCATTCCACTGAAAAACAAAATTTCTGTCTTTAGTTCATAAAAATAATGTTATTAATAAAAATATATTTATTTCACGGGCCTGGTCTCTCGGAAAATGATGATATAGCAATAAATTACCTTTTTCACTTCGAATCTCTTTTTATCACCTTTACTACAACTTGATGACGCCATTTCTACCTCTTCTTCGTCAACATCCATTGCGGAAGCCATTAAATTTTCAAAATACCTTACTTTTTATCAAAAATTGTTAAAATAAGTATGAAAACTACAATTTTTGTAATTTGTATGATTGAGATTGTTGATGCGGTACGATACTTGGGATGTCAACCTGACAGAGGTGACATTGACAAATGAGACATTCTATATTATACTGTAGTCTAGTGACATTGAGAAATATATAATTAAGTCAAAACTTTTGCAAGTGACATTATTTTATTATATTTTGGATCATTGGGATGACTCTTTCTACTGATTAATGAAAAATATTCTTAAAGATTCTCCAAAAACTATATTAAAACGTTTTATGTTTAATAAAACTATTTCAAAAACTATAGGTTTCGATTATTTCATTAATTAAGGATGAAGAAACAGGATAAGGATTCAAAACAAAATTAACGCTTAAAATAAAACATAGCTTAGGCCACGTGGTTTTTTAATTCAATATCATCAGTTATTATAATATTGTCCAATTCTGTATTTTTTCTTCTCTTATACGAATTTTTCCATATTTCATAGAAACATACAGTCGCTTGAAATCGGTAGCAGACTAAAAGTGGCACGGAGACATGGGTGATGAGAGTCCAAGCCCAAACGCCATAAAATTGCATCTTAAACAATGTAGACATAATTATTATAATTATTATCGTAATATTTTTATACCTTTGAATCACTTTCTTCAATGTTTTAATTTACGAGCAATTTCAAATAGACCCCGCCAAATAGGCAAGAGTGTCTTAATGCGACACCGTAAATAAGTCCAACGAAGTTACATTAGACCATTAAAATGTTACATGGGCTGAACATTTGTCGTTAAAAATTGTTGTATTGACCGGTTTGTTATGAGCATTGGCTAGCCGCACACACAAAATAATATTGACAATAAAATACGTATTGTCAATAATATTGTGTGTGTGCGGCCTGTATTGCGGTATTGTTCAATATTATTGCGAATTTCTGGAAATTCTGAAATATGCCGTCAATATTCAGGGGGAGGCAGGGTTATTCGTCTCAATATTATTGTGTGTGTGATTTTTGTTGGATTTTGGAAGACGTTCTTTCTCCGCGGGCCTTATTTACTCAATATTCTATATATATATATATATTGTTAAAACAAATTGACAAACTTGATTTGACAATATTATTGCGTGTGTGCGGCTAGCCATTGACAAACCTGGTCAACTTTGGAGCGTTGTAACAGTGTTTCAAATTAACGAAATTTAAAAAAACTATAAGAAAGAAACACTCAGAAAGAGATCCTCTACAAAATTGTTCTAACATTAATAAGATTAAAAGCAAATAAGATTTTTTTTTACTTATAACTTTTTGAATTTTGGACTTATGATAAAAAGTTACACTGTCATAGTTGTAGGCAAATCAATTTGCTACAAAATATGTCCTTACATTTTTTTTGTTCGATGGATAGTTTAGGAGATATGTATAGCCAAAAACGTGTGTTCACCCCTTTTTCCAAAATGGCGACCGAGGGACAAGGGTGCCAACCCTACAAACTTGGGATTAAGCTTGTTTTGACCCCCTTCATGTCCCATAAATAAAATTGCGTCCTTTAATAAAATGTTCAGTTTGGCCCTCAAATTGTAACATTTCAATGGACTACATGTGAAACCTATAAAATATATTGGTATACTTATTTATTATTTATAGTTTATGTATACCGTATACATATCAGACTTGCCAATTAAATTATAATCAAAATTCGACGAATAATTATAGAATATATTGTGATTTGCATTTGCCGTCAAATGAAATGCCAAACCAAAAGGCAGTCAAAACCTTATTAGATTCATACTATTTAAGTTAAAAGATTATAATTTTAAGTAAAAGATTATTTCTTCCTACTCGTAGATAGAGTATAAAACTAGATGAGCTTCTAAAATAACAATAATAACTAAAGAGAGAAGGCATTAACGTGAAATACTTAAGTGCGAGCGAAACAGAGTATCAGTTTTTCTGTCTCTATTTGCGTATCGGGTTTTATTTGTTTACCACCGAGCCCTTGGTGGTAAACAAGTTTTCACCGCTTACTGATAAATCTGTGAAACCCAAGTTAAACCAATGTTTTAAGACTTTATCCTTATAAGATGTGTATTTAAAGTGTCAGTCATTGTGAATTGTTGCATAATTGGCTGTAAAAGCCATAGTGAACGTAAAGAACCAAACATAACCTTTCATCGGTAAGTAGCTTATTTTGTCACTACTCAGTAACTTTGTTCAAGAATTATTCATTCGAATGTGTATTTTGGTCAATAATAAGCAATCTTCAATGAATTAAAACTATAAATACGACATATGTCGATCATTCGCTATCTCACACGCTGTACGCTGATGCCTGGTCTATACCATAGTCCGTCGACGTCCCTACTGGACCGAACTGACGTTTGAAGATGACAATAAAACTCGACTGACATTTAACATTTAACTAATATTTGCGATTTACCGTTTCTCAACGTAAAGTAGTTTTTATTGTAAAAGAAGAAAAAAACCCGGATATTAATAAAATAGTAATCTATAGATAAAGAAGTTTTATCATCTGTACCTGTAAAGGATGAAACTCAGCCCTTGCATTTTTAACACGATTAAGAAGCCACAGCGCGAAGTTTCCCACTAAGAGGAATGTCACCAATTGCCTCCCAAGTCGCCTTTTGTAATTTGTGCAGCGTCGAGACCAAGCATCCAGGATAAGAAGGGTCTGGCAAGAGCTTTGTATAATTGCACATAGTGGAGATATTATTCTGGAATTTAAATAATAATTGCGTGCATCGAGTTTATATAAAACTAAATTTAAATCAATATTCAGCATTTTACTAAGCATACATTTTAACCTGTCAAATGTATAAAAATAGTGATATTAATAAACGAATGAATGTTTTGTCACTATCACGCCTGTGACGTTGAAAATACGGAACGGAATGAACGAAAAAATGAACGGCACAAATTCTTTAACTACTTGATAGCAATAGTTTAATGTTTTTGTTTAGCTTGTTCGTCGTATGAAGGAAAACATGACGAGGAAACTGGCTGTAAGGGTAAGATTTACAGTCAGTCAGTAGTTTTTTTTCTGAATAAAGAGAAAAAACTTTAAACTTATAAGCATACACATTAATTTTTATGTAAAGTGTTAAATTTACATTATCTGTAATTTAACTACACGATTGTCCGTTTGGCGGCGCCAGATTCACTTCAGCAGCTTCATTCATTCAGCTTAGTCGCGCTCAAGGCACCGATGTCTCTTGGCATAAACTAAGCCCAAGTTTGACTTTGACCGTTTATGTCCTAAACAATCACTTAACTTCCTTTGACGTTCATCTCGTTTCTGTCACCCGTAGACTTAATTGACCTCTGCCTGGCATAGAAGATATCAGCCTTATTACAGTGTCTATTAAGAAATAAAAAATGTAACAGATGCAATGCTCCTAGCATTGAACCCTCATAGTAAATAGCGCCACTGGATTTAAGAAGCCTGCATCGGTACCCTGTAACTTCCAAAAGCGACTCCTACTTTTGTTTCATTTCAGTATTGTTCTCTTAATAGACTGGTCGTATAACGGTAGTGTAGTATATACGAATTTTCGTGTTTCTGCTTAGAAGCTTGAATACCAAGACAAGGCAGGGCTGCACTGCATCGCATGGTATTTTGAATGCGAATGTCAATTTCGTGTTTTCTACTGTTGGGATCTTTTACGGTGCAACCCAAATACCGAAATTTAGCAGATCCTTTATCTCCCACCTGAAGATCACTTGGCCGATTACGCCTATTCTAATATCATCGTGTCGAGATACTTGGCTTTTTCTTGGTTGATCTTTATCTTATTAATTTAATTTATTTATTTGGAAACAAAACAGATACATTTATACATAAAAAAAACGTTAAAAACATAAAATAAATACATTGGATGTATCCAGAAAAAGTTTCACTAATAAAAAATAGGATACAAAGCAAAGAAAATCAAAACATGAAAGCACAAAATTTATAAATCCGGACAACGACATACTAGTAGCTATAATAAAGAAGAAAGATACAAGGATTAGGACATTAACAGTTGTTTCAGTCCGACTTTGTGCGCTTCTACTTGCAACACTAGCGATCTCTCGGACTTCTCCACCGTTATCTCTATCAACCTTATCATCCCTATCTAGTCTTACTCCCCCTTCAAATGACATGACTTTCGTTAGTCTCTCAATATAGCACCGACGCAATCTTGGGATCGCGCAGTACAGAAACTCAACATCGAAGTTTCTAGTCAAATGATTTATATAAATTAGGCCTATTAATAAGGCACGTTTAAAATTACAACTAAAAAAAACTGACCAGTTGCCCCTTCCAAAAGGTAGTTTAATATGGAGAAGAATGGACAAGAAGCTCCAAATCTCTCTTTTCAAATAGTTTTTACAATATTTTGAATATATTGTTTTGAAGACCATGTACCTAGATTATAAAGAAACTACTATATTCAAATAAAATAGGTGCTTCGTGCTATAAAAAAAACACTACTGCATTGTTTATTTCATAACTAAATTATTATGTAAATACATGGTGCTCACATAATCAGACACATTGGAACTATAGATTTTACATTATAATTTATAAACAAAGAAACTAATATATTTTAAGTCAAACAGTGTGTGAATGACGTCAAAGTATATTCATTTTTTTTTATAAATCGAAGGAAGTAACATGGTTTGAATTCTTACCTAGTGGCCCTTCTTGCTTCAGGGTACTGATGTAAGTGAAATGCAGCGCCAATAATTTGAAATAAATAATATAGATAGACACCGAATTGTGTAACGAGCAACATCGCGTGCTCTAGCGGCAGTGCGGTGATTACTTGTCGCAAAGCCAAAGAACGCATTCTATAGAGGCATGCTACGGATGAAAGTGTCATTATCACGAATAAAATTGTCTCCCAGATGTTGATCTGAAACATATAGTATGTTGGTAAGTTCGATATTAAAATAAAACTGCTTTAAGGGTTTTAAATAGTGACCGAAGTTCATAGTACGTTAACACGTTACCTGTAACAGCGCAAGTTCCACGTGTTCCTCTTTCTGAAAGAGTCCGTTGAAGAGCATCAGACTGACAATAGTCCCAGCCAGTATTGCTACACCCATAAATAGTCCCTTATGAGCACTTCCACAGTCCACAGAAAAATGCAAATTCGATTTAACTCGACCACAACATCTGTTGTCTATGCCACTGTTTGACACTTTAGCATTTTTCTAGAAAATGTAATTGTAAGTTTTATCTATATCTGTATTTATAAAATTTGTGTTGCACTATATTTGTAACCAAACTCCTGCGAAGCGGCTTGACTTTTTCAAGAGTATAATATATTCGGTAGATTTGAGAATACTCTACCCGAGTAATTAGTTGCAAAGTTGTTTTTGCAACGTAATAATGAGTCGTCAATACGAATTCTCTAAACTACGTACGCAATACGTAGCAATGGCCTAGCTGTATTATGTATTAATTAAATAATTTGTGGGTGTATTGACTTTGTAAGAAAGTATTTAACTGTTGCCCAAGGTACAATAAACGCATAAGAGGAAGACAATGTACGAATGTGTATGAATACATCATTATTATTGACTTTTTAATGAGAGGTAATATTTATTAACAATGAGTAGTGATCTCAGACTAGGTAGGATTCGTTTAAACTAAAATTTATTTTGACAAAACATTTTGTCTCAAAAAACGGCTAAGGTTTTTGTTCATTTACATATTACTTTATTATTGACCGGACTCGCTGCCCATGGACACTCTCAATGTCAGAGGGCTCACGAGTGCGTTGCCGGCCTTTTAAGAATTGGTACAGAAATTCAGTGAGCAGCTGGTTCCACACAGTGGCGGCAAAAACTGCCTTAAGAAACGCTCAGTTGTGGAACGACGGACGTCGAGGTGATACGGGTGGAATTTCGTATTCTGTCTCGACGTCCGATGAAACTCAGCTGCAGGTATTAATCCGAACTACTCCTCTGAACACTCTCTATGGTCTCTTTTCTTTAGGAAAGTTAACACGAGCCTTCTACTTCTTCTTCTTTAAGTAGTATGAGTGCCCATGGGTATCATTTAACCATCCAGCATGCCCCTGTTTTATAAAATAAAAATCTTACCGATCCTGGCACAGTGCAAATGTCATTCCATATAACCATTATAATAATTGAGCAGAGGAGGCTGTATTCAACTCCACAAGGTCGTAAATACGGGTTCATCGACCGAATGAGTGGTGTTATCATATCAGAGACATTGCATGTCCAAACTGTAGTTATGTTTGTCCCATTAATTATTGAGTAAGTTGTCACATTGGTTTGTCTCAAAAATGCGGGTTTATTATAGGCGACCGCGACGATGTCGTCTCTCGTTTCTTGTATTACCACGTTCAGCCATTCGCATACATTTGTAGCTATTAAGTGCATGAGTCCGAATCTGTCTAGAACGACGCCTCGCATTGGATCTAATATCTGAAAAAAAATTGTCAAAAAAAAAGTGTAAAAATAGGATTAAGTTTAGTTTGGTCTTTTGCAAGAAATAAAAAGGCTTTTTATTCTATTTTTGAAGTGAAACTTCTTTAGGCGCGTGAGGGTGAAATTTTTACCGATGCAACGTCACAAAGATATGCAGTGTTTTTGTCGAAGAAAAGGGAGAGAGCGATTGAGACCGATTGAGTGAGAGTGAGAAAGGCGAATTATCTTAGAAATTCTATTTTTATAATAAAAATTTCGTGAAGAGAATTTATGAAATATTAGTATTTTATATAAAATTATTTAATTTATTTAATATAATTTAGCAGTGGGCATGGTGAAATAGGAGCACGCACTTACATTCTCGTGGGAACAACACGCAAATACATAGTCGAAATAACTAACATCACCGCATACACGAATTCAAGTCCTTAAGTCAGCGGCGGACAATTAGTCAAGAATTATTGTAAAAAAATTACCCTCATGCGCCTAAAGTAGTTTCACTTCAAAAATTTAAAATATATATGATAATTTATTGTTTTAAAACTTACGTCTGTGTATGAGAAAATAAATATTGTCTGAGCAACCATAAAAAGTATACGTAAAGCCGGTTTTAAAGCGACAATGATCAGTTGACAATCGCCTGAAAGATCAAAGTACTCCCCGAATTGTAGGCACGAATAAATTATGGACCCCACGCTGAACCCCGCCACACCCATATGTAGGTAGAAGCTTCCGTAACGTATACGTACTAAGTTATCTGAAAAGGAAATATTTGGTTACCATTGCGCAATTGTTTCTGTGGTAAAAAAATTCAGTGCCATGCAACCAGTTATGGTCTCAGAAAGCATTTGTTTTTTTGAAATTTGCATTATATTAATGAAGTGCCTTCCGTGCCTGACACATGTCTTAGACCCAAAGACATGCCGGTTTCCACACAATGTTTGCTTTCAATAGTGCCATTTTAGATGGTCTAATTGAAATAAACGATTTGTCTTTGACTTTGTGTGCACATAATGAAATACATATATGATACAGATATTTTTTATAAATATTTATTTGGTTCATTTGACGCAAATAAATCAGTGGCGCTACAACCTTTTTACAACCTTGTGTGGGCCTGAGATTTCTGAATCTGTTTTATGATCATTTGTCAATCTAATAAGCAGGTAGGTGCCTCCTATGCCTGACAAACGCCGTCGACTTTTTGGGTCTATGGCAAGCCGGTTTTCTCACGATGTTTTTCTTCACCATTCGAATGTTTAATGCGCACATAGAAATAAAGTCCATTGGGGCACAGTCAGTGATCGAACCACTATTAAAAGCGCCCACTTATGGTAGTACAAAGGCATATGCACACATAGAAAGATATACATACTACATTTTTTCATATAAAATATTATGTATAAATAAGCAATGTACATTACCATCTCTTCTTCTTTTGGCTATTCGAAGGTGGTAAAAAGTGTATGCGAGGAAAAGCATACTTGTAGCGTACAAATATATTGTGAATACCTTAAAAAAATATTAGAAAGAAATAAATGATAAAACAAAAAACATACAACGGACGTCCTGATTTCGATTCTTCGGTTTGGGTTGAACAATAAATATTTTGACTTATAAAATATAAAACTCAGACGTCTCGTAAAAAAAATCGATCTTTTCTTAACTCACTTAGAGTTTTTAATGCATATTTTTCAACCCTACCTGAAAGACCATAGTCTTGTACCACTGACGGAGTAAAAACGGTTAATGTAGAGATATATTTTTAACTTACATCTGACGAAATATTCGTGTACAATTCGTTCTGTATAGTACTTGTTACTGGCAGAGCTAAACCCATTACAATCAATAGTTTAGCATAAAATGCAGAGAGCACAACGGTCATTGATTCGCTGTAATTAAATGAGATATTGGGCTAATTAGTGAAATGTGGCAAATGTAATCATTAAACACTAAATTAGAATGCATTTTAGATAAATTGTTTGCAGCGTAAATATTTTGCTGTGTGTAAATTAGCTTCGAACATGCTATACAGGTTGGTTTATTTTGATATAAAACCTTTGTGGTGTAAATTTTTTCAGTAAAACCTTTTTTCATTTGGTTCTTATGTTGCACCACGAAGTATTCAAAAAATTATTACGCCATGCCTATGAAACTATTTAATCATCTACCAAGAAGTTAAATATTACTGCCGTGTAATGATTCCAAGGAGAAGGTGATTAAATTTTTAAAGGCAAAGTGGCTTTGTGAGAGTATTTAGACCATAAGTTTTGACAACAATTATAAATAACTTAACTGTTCTTATTATGACATTATGGTAATTAATATGATATTTGGATGCCTATTTTTATATGACTGTGCGATTTTATAATTAATAAATCTGAATGTACCACTTTCTTTGCAAAAAAACGATAAAATTATTTTATTTAAAAAATGTGTAAAATTCGATTTTCAATTGTTATTATATTCAGTTTAGACGAGAACAGTTACTTCGAATAACAGTAATTTTTTTAAACGTTTCGACTAGGAAGTAACGCGGCTGGCTCGCAATATTAACGCTGCGTTCGAAGAGGAGACTAATAAAGTGCGTTGTCGGTTTAAACCAGCTGCCCACTGAAGTATTTCCGAATCAATTCCACTTAGGGTCCTTCCCGACCCTAAGAGCGAACCAATTCTTAAAAGGCCAATGCACTCGCGTGCCCCTGGCATTGAGTTTCTATGAGCGGCAGTATCACTTAACATCAGGTGAGCCTCCTGCCCATTTGCTTTATAAAAAATAACCCTTTCATAACAAACTCACTTGAAGAACCAACCACGAAGGCATCAATTAAAAGTTGATGCGAGTGAGTTGGAGATTAAATCTTGCCATACGCATTTTTCTTTCATTTCACAATAATAATTTTTTTTATATACTACTTCAGTCAAATCGGTCCAGCTGTTTAAGAGGAGTTCAGTGACTTACACACGTATAGTAGAATTATATATATATTAGGTCCTTACATATGAAATTGGCGTATTTCGTACTGGCCACTTTAATCACGATGTTCTCCTCTTTGGTGAGGAATTCCAAATTCAAATTTGTACAGCTATTTACTCATGTATTTGTGCTTCGATGACCGTCATTCATTTGTTTTTTTTCTGTTTGCGTCACTCATTTTACAAAATGGAAAACTTTAAGTATGGCATTATTTACGAGTACGAGTTCCGCCGTGGCACTAGTGCTGCGGAAACGACTCGAAGGGTGAATGATGTGTATGGCGGTCATGTTGCAAAAGAAAACACAGTTAGTTTTTAGTTCCAACGTTTTCGTTCTGGGAATTTCGACCTGCAGAACAAGCCCCGTGGACGGCCTGAGACCCAAGTTGATAATGAAGTATTGAAGGCTATTGTGGAAGCGGATCCATCGCAAACCACGTCCGAGTTAGCTGCAGGCTGCGGTGTTAGTGATAAAACTGTTTTAATTCACTTGAAGCAAATTGGGAAGATTAAAAAGCTTGAAAGATGGGTACCTCACGAATTGACTGAAGCAAACCGGCAAACGCGCGTTTACTGCTGCGTTACATTACTGAACCAGCACAATAATGAAGGTATTTTAAACCTGTGATGAAAAATGGATTCTTTACGATAATCGGAAGCGCTCAGCGCAATGGTTGGATCCTGGCCAGCCAGCCAAATCCTGCCCCAAGCGAAAATTAACCCCAAAAAAAGTTACTTGTAAGCGTTTGGTGGACTAGTGCCGGTATTGTTCATTGCAGTTTTCTCAAATCTGGCCAGACTATTACGGCTGATGTCTATTGTCAGCAATTGCAAACCATGATGGAAAAGCTAGCGGCTAAACAACCTAGGCTGGTCAATCGCTCCACGCCACTGCTACTTCACGACAACGCTAGACCACACACTGCACAACAGACGGCTACCAAATTAGAAGAGCTTCAATTGGAATGTCTAAGACATCCTCCGTACTCCCCGGACGTTGCTCCAACAGATTACAATTTTTTTCGAAATTTGGACAACTTCTTGCAAGGGAAAAAATGTTACTCTGATGGAGCAGTCCAAATCGCCTTCACAGATTTTATTGATTCCCATCCGACTGGTTTTTTTAGTAAAGGGATCAATGAACGACCTATGAGATGGCAAAAGTGCATAGAAAACAATGGTTCATACTTTGATTAATTAAATATATTATATTTAAAAATGTTCGACTTTTTGTTCCTCCCATATAAAACGCCAATTTCATATGTAAGGACCTAATATAAAGATAAATAAAATGTTATTTTGAATCTCTTACAAAACTTTCAAAGTGTATATATCTATTACTATTGTCTGCAACGAATATTTTCTCGAAAAATATTAGTTTAGGTGTAATCAAGCCCTGTGCATAGAAATTATTTGATAGTATTTTACAATTGTCTTAGTTACTTACTCTCCATGAGACAACCGAGGTGGGCGCGGCTCTGCTGGAAGCTGTTCAACACTGGAACTGCTACTCCTGGGTAGCACTATACTCAGTCGGGGCAAGAAATGTGGTGTGTGGTCTCTGAAAATGATTAAACACATACATGTGTATGGTGATCTTAAATATATTCGATTTGCTTATTGCACAAAATTTCCGTGCCGTTTCGGAGGAGTTTAACTACAAACACCGCGACACGAGAATTTTATATATTAGATATAAATTATTGTAAATGGTAAAATTTGGTTTATTTTCTCTTTTCTTCGTATAAGGAAAAGTCTCTATAACGAAAAAAAATGCTCGGTCCCTTGAAATTCGTTATAAAGATTTTACACTGTGAAATTCAAGTCAATATGATTTTTTCAAAAGAAATAGGTAGTAGTAAATAAATAAATAGTAATATAGTAGTATAGTGATATAGTAATATAGTAATATAGTAATATAGTAATAGAAAGTAAACATTCAAGTTACTAATACCATTTATGTAAGCTTTTTAACACCTCCGACGACTACATAGTCGGGGAATTATCTGGAAAACGTTCAATAAAAAAAAAAATAAAAAAAATATATTATTTTTTCATAACCCGTGTTATGAAATGTATTGTTAGAAACATTAAGTCTGCTCTCATCTAAATGTTAGTGGTTCAATTTAAAAACGTGATAATTTTTCAAGTAAACGTATTTGTAAGCATTCTTATATAATCTGAAATTTTGTCTTTAATGATAAACCGTTGAGAAGTTATAAGTGGACAAACATACACATTAAATGTAATCCTTAGAATTAACAAATTTTGGATAACAGCTTGATAAATTATAACTACATATGATTCATCTCTTAAAATTCCATTGTGAGTCACGAAAGTATTGAAATTAAGACACTGAAATTGTACGCCAATTTGAAGAACACTTAAACTACAAAAGACAATATTAACAACAAAATTGCAAGTCTAAACCAAAATAAACTAAAGAACATATTAATTACATAGGAAAATCTAAAACAGGAGAGTTTTAATGAAGACTTCCGACTCACCTTTCATCTTCAGGTACGGGTACCAGCGGTTCAGCTCTTTCCCGCCATTCTTTACTTAGACTACGATTTAAATTATCCCTTTTCTTCGCCATAGATCACGTCACAGCTTTCTCTATGGCAATTATTTTGAATTTGGAATTGCCTTTGTAAATTGAATTTAGAATAATTTTTACGAGATCCGATCACATGTGACGTGAACACTGAACTGTGCGCACGTCATATTTACATTCGCGTATGTGCTTATTACTTGATCATTTGTAAGACTCGGGGTGTGAAGTGGTCGAGTGGACATTCTTATTTTTTAATATTATCTCTGTACGATGTTATTATCCTTTTTATGTGTTAATTCAATTTGTAGTTATTCTTCCGCATTAGTACATTAATATTTAACAACAGATTAACCAGTAGATTGTCTAACCTACAGTTATAATCTAGTGATTACCAGATTTATTGACTATGCTGTGTAGATTTGCTATTACCTTGGATTAAATACACACGCACATAACCCTGAGGTCGTCCGTTCTAATCCCGGCTGTGCACAATAGGATTTCTTCGTATGCGCAATTTATACTTGCTTATACGGAATACACATCTAAGACCCATATATTGAAGTACTACAGACAAGGCAGACAATACTACAGGCTTATAAGCTTTAAATTTAATAATAATAACACTTTATTTATATCACAATAGGGCGGTCTTACTGTAAAAAGAAGTTTCTACCAGACAACCCAATCATAAATAATATTTTAAAAATACAATACAGAACTTAAAACTACGCTTAACTACTAAATAGTTACAACATTATGTATTAAAAGCTACTTGAAGTAAAGAAAGAACATATTTAATAATCATTACTTAAGAAACTTATTTTACATAGTAACATAAAAACATAAAAAAAAGGGTGCGTGTACTTATGTAGGCGCGTAAGAAGTTATACTTCTTTGGCATATTAAAAATAGTTTTTGATTGCATGCAAATAATTAATTACAATTAAATAATCAAAGACTGGAAAAGGAGTCATTATAGTCAATTAAGTTCAGTTTACATTTGAAAAATTAAATAAAAAATTATTATTTATTATTATTCTCTTACATTAAGTGTAACATAAATTCTATGTAGTTAAAAGTATATATAATTATATATTTAGAACATCTCTACCAAACACTAAGAAGTATGTTGTAGCTTTGAAGTATTGCACAATATAAAATTTATAAATTTCTTTGAAAAAATAATCAAAACTCCTTTATTTGTTTAAAAGGTAAATGACAAATGTCATATGGTCATTCAAAATTCTTGGCATACGAACTTCACGCATATTCTATTCTTTTATTGTAGATGTCTTATTCCTATTCGTCGCGCACGTAAATAACTCCCAATTTTGTGTCATAGGTGCGCGGCATCGTAAAATTCATCAATTTTCATAAGCGTAAGAAGTATAACTTCAAACATAAAAAATTCTAAATTTCAATCTATTGAATAAATGTCCACATAAAATAAACTGAAGAATAATTAGCAGCCGGTGTCACATTCAGTTCTCCTAACGAGCCATGTGACCCCCCACTTCACCCCCGCATCTTGTACTGCGCGATTAATTAGATGTCTAACTCTAAGCTATCCTTGGACTCGATCGACCATAATTGATAAGAAAAATAAAACCTGTCTGCGTTTTAAATACCGCACACGTCTAGAATTTTTTCAATCGTGTCTATAACTTTTACTTATAGGGTTCTATGATCGTTGATTTGGAGTTCGAAACTTAAACAGTAATGACGTTATTTTTCATGTAGCTTGTAATCTGACTTGTTTAAAAATCGAACATAGGGTAAAGTGTCTCTTTATAAACACTTTAATAGTATTTTAGTATTTGTATTCTATTTTTGTTTCTATTATTGATAGGGGGAAAGGGAGGGGGGGCTGACGAGCCTATGTGACGACCATAAACGGCAGTCATTGCCATTTAAGTAGGTAACGCACTCATTTAATGTCTGGCTTTTGTGTATGTTGGTATGTTCTTTTTTTAAATAATTGGAGGTCGTATCTCCCAGGGCTCTCCACCGGGAGTTGTGACCATAGTTCGCTAGTTCGCTAAACAAAATGCCTAGTGAAAGACTTCCAGCCATCAAAGTTATGCGGATGAAGTTCTGGAGTTAATACGGCTTGTACAGTTATGAAACGAGAGAGAGAGAGAGATCTACCTAAACAACTCTTCAGAACATAGTGTTCTGTAGATTTTGTAGAAAACGCATAGAGACGCAATGTCTCTGCCTAGAGAGGGAATCAAGCTGATCAGTAATACAGAGATTGACAATTCGACAAGCCCTTCGGTGAATTTGGTCAAAAGGAAGAAGCTGGTGTTTGGAGGACCAGAGATGTCAGCAGTATTCCATATGAGGTCTAATTTGATCTCAGAATCTAAGAATGCAATATATAGGTTTAAATAATATTTTATATTATATCCGCAATCATATTTATAGCGCTGATACCTGGACTTATCTGAAAGTAAAAAAATAAATGCTCCGGAAATGTGGTGATGGCGGTGGATTTTAAGGATTTCCTGGACAACTAAGGAAACAAACGTGTCTATACAAAGATGGTTACAGGTAAAAACACTTTACCAACGCTAACGCTTTTCTAAGTTTTTTTTGGACATGTAACACGCAGAGATCCAGAATGATTAGAAAAACTGATCGTGACTGGCAGAGTGGAGGGCATCAGACCTCGAGCCCCATCCCCTTCTCGCTAAACCGATCAAATAAAGGCGCTAACGGGTCTTACCCAGGCGCAGCGGCTTACAAAAGACAGGGGAGACTGGAGGAAGTTGTGCGGTGCCACTAATACGAAAGGAAGAGTGCCACTGAAGATCAACTATCAAATACTCCCGTAGTTCCAATGTATGCAAGTATTGTACATTTAATTTATGTCTAGAATCTGCATCTTACCCTAAGAATTGTATATATGCACAATATCCCTATAGATTTGAATTAGAAAATGTTTGTAGTCAAAGATTGCATCATTTAATTTACAGTGAATAAACTTTTTTTAATAACATTTGTAAAAGAACTGCGGTCATATATTTGCCGCAGATAAGAAACTTTTCCACTTCTACAAGTTATTGCTCATAAAACTTACCTACTGTGGCGAATTCTTCTTTCTAGTGAGGTTGATGTTTGGCGTAGAGGATGATGCAAATGCAGCTGCCGGTGCTCGTAGCTCGTAGAAGGTTTTACGTCACTAAAGTTATTTTAATTAAGGATTATAAGTGCAGTAACAAATGTTTGCTTGAGCAATTTTTTTAAGTTGGTTTTATTAGATGCTTGAAAGTTGTCGCTGTCTTATGTAAGAAAGAGACAGGAGAAAAATAAAGCTATGTTTTTTTAATGTAACAGGGGGCAAACGGGCAGGAGGCTCACCTGATGAAAAGGGATACCGCATACTTTCCCAGCCTTTTAAGAATTGGTACGCTCTTTTCTTGAAGTCCAATTGGTTCGTAAATACTTCAGTGGGCAGCTTGTGGGCTGGAATTTTGTATTCCGCCTTAACGTCCGATGATGAAACTTAGCTTCAGGTATTAATCTAAAGAACTCCTCTGAATATTCCGTGTTTGTTTGTTTTAGTCGTACAACCAAAACAATCTGCATTCCGTATAAGAAATGCCAGCATTCGTGCGGATGTGGTTACTACTTTATTAACTTGAGATATAAACGTTAATTTTCTTTGAATAATTACACTCTCAAGTCCAAGCTCCTGAACCTCCTTCAATGGTGCGCCGTCAATCTCATACACAGTAACTAGTGGTATTTTGTTTTAGTTTAGATAATTGAGTTAGCTACAATATTGTCCAAAATATTATATTAGTAGGTTAGGTTTAGAATATATAAAATCATAAAATTAAAAAGCGCACATGCAGTCCATTGCAAAATGGAACCTGACAATTTACAAAATAGCACACCAAGGCTGAAAGAAGAGTAATACATACCAAATAATATCTGTCACACTCTCTTCCATTGTATTTTTAAACACATTAACAAGTAGTACTGAATCTCAAGTGTTTTGGTTACAGATAAAAACTACTAAATGGTGATTATCGTGTCAATCTTTCAGATGCCACAGCTATTTAGATATGACGCAGAGATCTTGTACATCAGATAACACCATACCATTTTCTCATGTTACGTTTCTTAAAATTATAAATGTCGATGTTGTTATCATCGATGTTACCTCAATTGAACACCAACCAAATAGGACCCCTATTTGGTTTAAAGAATTATTGAACTGACTTCAAAATACACTAAAATATTGTTTTATAGGACGGGGAAACGGGCAGGCCGTTTTATATATTATGTTTTACTCAAATAATCATTATTAATTATTAGAATAATATTCTTTTCTCCAATACGTATATATTATTTTAATTTGCAAGCTTTCAAACCCTTTTAATAAATATAAAAAAAATATGTCCCGACAATCCCGAAATATGTGACCGAATCTACTCCAAGCATAAACAAAATGCATTAAATGACGCGGGAATTTGAGCAAAGAAGTGATATATTATATTGTTATTTGTCTGTCGTGTTGAAGGTCAAGAGAGCGTTAAACGATTCACCACGATTTAGAAACTGGGTGACTTGTAAGATTTTTCTGTTGATATAAAAATATATATTGTACACAGAGGCGGCTAACCATACCAATCAATAGTATAGCTACGCCGTAGGGGGCGATTTCTACAAATACTACAGATAATGTGAACGTAAAAGTACGATTTCCTTTATTATATGGCAATTTATAAAATTACGTTATAAAGCTAAATTATAAATAAATACAGTGATAACTCTTAATAACGAATTTCACGGGACAGAGCATTTTTTTTTCGCTATAGAGAGGTGTAGTTATACGGAAGAGAAAAAAATACGAAATTTAACCAATTACAATTATATATATGTAATATTAGGTCCTTACATATGAAATTGGCGTATTTCGTACTGGCCACTTTAATCAAGATGTTCTCCTCTTTGGTAAGGAATTCCAAATTCAAATTTGTACAGCTATTTACTCATGTATTTGTGCTTCGATGACCGTCATTCATTTTACA